ATTCTGAGATAACCTCCAGACAGATTGGTAGTTTATATTCTGAGATATCCTCCAGACATATTGGTGGTTTATATTCTGAGATAACCTCCAGACAGATTGGTAGTTTATATTCTGAGATAACCTCCAGACAGATTGTTGGTTTGGTTTTTGAGATAACCTCCAGACAGATTGTTGGTTTGGTTTTTGAGATAACCTCCAGACAGATTGGTCCTCCAGACAGATTGGTGGTTTGGGTTCTGAGATAACCTCCAGATAGATTGGTGGATTGGATTCTGAGATAACCTCCAGACAGATTGGTGGTTTGGATTCTGTGATAACCTCCAGATAGATTGGTGGTTTGGATTCTGAGATAATCTCCAGACGGATTGGTGGTTTGGATTCTGAGATAACCTCCAGACAGATTGGTGGGTTGGATTCTGAGATAACCTCCAGATAGATTGTTGGTTTGGATTCTGAGATAACCTCCAGACAGTTTGGTGGTTTGGATTCTGAGATAACCTCCAGATAGCTTGGTGGTTTGGATTCTGAGATAACCTCCAGAAAGATTGGTGGTTTATATTCTGAGATAACCTCCAGACAGATTGGTGGGTTGGATTCTGAGATAACCTCCAGACAGATTGGGGGGTTGGATTCTGTGATAACATCCAGATAGATTGGTGGTTTGGATTATGAGATAACCTCCAGACAGATTGGTGGTTTATATTCTGAGATAACCTCCAGACAGATTGGTGGCTTGGATTCTGAGATAACCTCCAGACAGATTGGGGGGTTGGATTCTGTGATAACATCCAGATAGATTGGTGGTTTGGATTATGAGATAACCTCCAGACAGATTGGTGGTTTATATTCTGAGATAACCTCCAGACAGATTGGTGGGTTGGATTCTGAGATAACCTCCAGATAGATTGGAGGTTTGGATTCTGAGATAACCTCCAGACAGATTAGTGGTTTGGATTCTGAGATAACCTCCAGACAGATTGGTGGTTTGGATTCTGAGATAACCTCCAGACAGATAGGTGGTTTTTATTCTGAGATAACCTCCAGATAGATTGTTGGTTTGGATTCTGAGATAACCTCCAGACAGTTTGGTGGTTTGGATTCTGAGATAACCTCCAGATAGATTGGTGGTTTGGATTCTGAGATAACCTCCAGATAGATTGGTGGTTTGGATTCTGAGATAACCTCCAGAAATGAAAGTGTGGATGGACAGAGAGATACACGTGTCTACTGTTTGTTTATATAGGATATCCGTGAAAGTTTGTACCATGAAACGTTTTAAATGGCTTCAAACAACGAAGGAAAGTAGCCCCAAACATTTCGTGTTTTACAGTATTGATGACGTAATAGATATTATGAATTGTTTCATGTCTCATGAATTTCAGTGTTACACCACCTGAATTTTGGAGTTTCATCTCCTCTCTGGTTTAAGTAAACAACATGTAAACATTTGGCTCATTAAAGATGTTCTTGCACAGAGCAAACTACAAGAGTTACTAAAAGTCCTTTACATTTACAGTGGACACCACCAGGACTACAGGATTTGGTCAGATTGTAGAGAGCCTAGCTATATAGCTACAAAATGTACTACAAAACCAGTGGGCATGCTGAAGTTATATCTATGTGAATACTGAAGGTATATCTATGTGAATACTGAAGGTATACCTATGTGAATACTGAAGGTATATCTATGTGCATGCTTAGGCATATTTATGTGAATACTGAAGGTATATTTATGTGAATACTGAAGGTATATCTATGTGAATGCTGAAGGTATACTTATGTGATTGCTGAAGGTATACTTATGTGAATGCTGAAGGTATATCTATGTGAATGCTGAAGGTATATCTATGTGAATGCTGAAGGTATGTACGGTATATCTATGTGAATGCTGAAGGTATATCTATGTGAATACTGAAGGTATACTTATGTGAATGCTGTGACGGTATATTTATGTGAATGCTGTGACGGTATATTTATGTTAATGCTGTGACGGTATATCTATGTGAATGCTGAAGGTATATTTATGTGAATGCTGAAGGTATACTTATGTGAATGCTGAAGGTATACTTATGTGAATGCTGAAGGTATATTTATGTGAATGCTGAAGGTACACTTATGTTAATGCTGAAGGTACACTTACGTGAATGCTGAAGGTATATTTATGTGAATGCTGTGACGGTATATCTATGTGAATGCTGTGACGGTATATCTATGTGAATGTTGAAGGTATATTTATGTGAATGCTGAAGGTATATCTATGTGAATACTGAAGGTATATCTATGCGAATGCTGAAGGTATATTTATGTGAATGCTGAAGGTATATCTATGTGAATACTGAAGGTATATCTATGTGAATGCTGAAGGTATATCTATGTGAATGCTGAAGGTATATTTATGTGAATGCTGTGACGGTATATTTATGTGAATACTGAAGGTATATTTATTTGAATGCTGAAGGTATACTTATGTGAATGCTGAAGGTATACTTATGTGAATAATGAAGGTATACTTATGTGATTACATTTAAATGCAAGTCGTCAATAGCAATCAGTTATAAAAGTTTGGAGTTATAAGCAGCAGAATACTTACAGCAAGTTTGGTATACTTTCCCTGGCTTAGGAATGACATTTTCCCTTTTGATTAAGTACACATCCAGTTGTAAGGTTTGCTATAGCCTTTAGGGTATTGATGTAATTAAGGACACAGACATGACTCCCATTAACGTTGTGCAGACGTAGAACTGATGACCATCACTAGCAGGCAATTATGTAGGTCTATACAGCTACAACTCTGTAGCTCCCAGCTACCATTAGATAGTCACTTTAAAAGCAGGAGTAATGTGGTGAAGAAATATTTCTTCGTAGTTACTTGTAGATAACGTTTCCAGAATGTATACAGGTATGTACTGATATTACCAGCACCATGACAAGTCAAGATTTCAAACTTCCCCTCTATGTATACATCACGGCAGTGGCTTGCAGACACAATCACTGACACATGTAAGCTGTGTCATATATCCGGCACACAATATTATACACACTTGTCATCCACTAATCCCAAATAGATTTCTACTCCTGTGACAAACAATGTTTAGAGAAGGTGCTATACTTCCGTCACGAGACAGACTGTGACGTCCACATTGTGTATCGTGTCTTAAGGCTATAATATATCACACACAGGATCACTACACAAATGTCTACAACTAGATCATCATACAGGTATTAAGTAGCATGTGAAATAGCGGACAGATCAAGTAATTACCTGTAGCTGCCCTAGGGCAACTCAAATGGGTGCCCAAGGCACATGTCTGAGGGATGGACATACACGTCCTACACACACAATCACACACAGCCATCTAGACAACAGTCTGCACCACCTTGTACACACAGTATCTACACCACATGACTAGCTGAAAACTTATCACCACATCTCAATGATTGTCAAATTGTGTCAATAGATTTGAAAAAGGAAAATTCAACATGAAATATTTCGCTATGTAAAGTAGCCGAGACAAACAGAAGTGACAGTCTTAAAGACCTCAGTGTCCACTGGGAAATGGAAGAATCCTTTTCATGAAAATACTTGAGATGACTAAATACAATGTGTTTAAGTGACTCTGTGATATCTTGGTGCACAGAATCCAGCTAACCAACAGTACGTACAAGTCTGCACTGGCAATTTTACAGTCAGGTGACCTATACTAGGCCATGAGGTAGACTATACAACCTGACATGGGAAATATCCAAACACTTTATATCAGGTGAAGGCAGAGTGATGTCCGATACCCAGGGATACCCAGGAATTGAGTCCCATACACCCACAGAGCACATACCTCTACTGACCCAGTCAGGTAAGTTACTTAATCATTGGTCGGACATCAGTAGATAGGATCCTAAAACTAAGATGGTTTAAACCATGTCAGATATATCCTGGGTACAACCGTATCTAATTCCCAGCTAAAACAGCTGGTTTGAATTAAGAGCATACTAACATACCAATTATAGTGAAATCATCAGATTAGTGGTGGCTCGATTGATGAATCTTGAATGTGCATGATTGTGTGACTTAACACCTGAGGAACTGAAGCTGTAAACCTTTAACGAGACAGAGCTAATAAATTTGAGAGACCGTTTTGGATCTTACTAAATCCAGCTATCACAATACTGAATCTTCTCCCATGCTTTATTAAGCCTGATCATGATTAGCTATAGAAATCAGAACTATCATGTACTGTCTAACCTGCCTTAACAACCCACAGTTTACTCCCAAACTTCCTGTGTTGTAGGATCTTATTTAAACTTATCTTCCCCTGAATTTTTACCATATACTGTACCTGTAATAAGCGACTTTCAATGTGACAAGAGACAGTGATTTCTTGTCTCCATGGAGTAAAATAACCCATACTTGCCAAATCTTTGAAATTTCCATGTGGGAGATGATGCATGCTCAGAATCAAATGTACCTTCAGGTGATATCATCAGATCTTAGAAAATAGGAATAGTTAGCAAATTCACTGGTTGAAAATGCTCAGTTTTATGGTGCAAAATTGGGAGTCTCCCTCCTACATAGGGGGAGTTGGCAGGTATGATTAACTTGCTAAAGTGACTCTATGAACTATATTATCTCAGTAGAAAATATATACAGATATCATGGTTTAAACAATAAACAAACAATAAACAAACAAGATGCCCCTGGCAGTGCCCGGTTTAGGGTCATCTATAACAATGTATGAGATATACCGTTTGATTGCTCTAAGCTACTGATCGCAGGTAAGCCATGGACTGATCTCTCAACGACCCGATACCAGCAATATCATCTGAGCAGACAGCGTTATAAGTGGATAACAAATGTTTCTGGGTGATAACAGGAAGCCCAACAAAAGATAAACAACCCAATCAGTAAAGGCGTGCTATTGTTTTACCTGTTTGTAACAAAGTATCAACAACGATCGTCACATAGGGTCATATATAGGGGGACCACATGACAGTAAGAAAATTATAACTCCTTTCTTATAATCATTAACAGGGTATAGGTATAGGGATATGGTATAAAATAACAAACCTTAAGTATACATGTATGTAACAGCTAGAGGTCATAATTTTTTCAATGCCTCCGCTAGGAGTCAAACCAGGGACCTCTGGCTTACAAGTCTTACACTCTACTGAATGAGCTAAAGAGAAATTCTTCCTAGCAGAGTTGGTAGGAAGCAGCTAGTATTTTACTAGGGTCAAATAAAAATGTCAAAATGCAATGTTCGTATGGAAACATGCCAAGTTAAGTTACCATTTAACTTTCATCATCATCTACATGTATCATTACAGAGTTTTATAGACATTCTCTGTATTGGCTGTCAGGATAACAACAACAATCAAAACCTTCAGATGAAGAAAAAACAGTGATGGTAGTACATATTATTACATGTATATCATAGCTTATCACAGCTTGTAGGAAAATCAGTGGATACAAAGGGGAGGTAACTCTAATCACATTACAAATTATTTAATTGTGTACAGCAGTTATGCAATGGTCAGTTAAATAATAGGTCCTAATATCTTTGACCAAGGCCTATAAAGACATGCTATTTATTATGCAGATATAAAACATTAAGAAGCACAGTGTTACTTGTGTATTTATAGAAAATTATGATGCACATTGTACGAAATCTTAAACCAGTGTTAAGGTAATAGGATTGTGTCGCCATTTCTCAGTGGAATTTCTTCAAATTTTGTAGTTATATTGCTTTGAAGTAAAGAAAATTTTCTGCTACAAAAAAAATATAGGTTGTCAGAATTTTAAGGATTTTAAATGGAAATTTATGTAAAAAAGAGTGAATTTTGAAAAAAATGTCAATAAAAATGATAGTGACATAGATAAGTATAGCATTAATGTATATCAATTTCATAAATGCTGAAATTGTGTAAAATTAATTATCTATAAACGATTAAAAATTGACATTTTATAATAAAACCATATACACATATTAATTGCATGTAAGAGTTATCGTTCTTGAAAAACTTCACAGCAGTGAAATAGGTAGCCGGTTTCCTGAAGTACAAAAAAATGGACACATGTGACTCATTGATTAAAAAACAACTGAATTAATGTCTGGACTGCTTTGAAATACTTTAATATTGAAATAACACACTGTTCTGTCAATAAACAACATACAATATTCATCAGTTTAATATTAAACATTCGAATATGCGGAAATTGTGATACTGTCTCGCTACATTGGGTTTTCAACTAGGGATGTACTTCCTATTTCCGCTTAACAATACACTCCTATGACCTTAAGGGGCCACCTGTCTTATGAGACCTTTGTTTACAGGACTCCGATCAGTAGTCAGATAGGGCAGGTTTGTCTCTGTAGAGATTCAATAGGGGGACACGAAGAACAAACTATTTGTAAATTTTCATACAATTCTAAAAAGTACGTTATAAATTTGATATTTGTGTTTATGAAGAGTAAAGCTATTACAGATATCCTGTAGCAATACCCAGTGTGGAGTGATGAGTAACAACTACAATCTGTATGGTACAAAGTTTACTATATATGTGGGAGTATAATCCAAAGGTCATCTACACGTTTAACTCAGGATGGTTCAACCATTACTTCTGTAACTCAGGCTGGTTTCAACCATTACTCGTGTAACTCAGGCTGGTTTCAACCATGACTCCTGTAACTCAGCCTGGTTTCAACCATAACTCGTGTAACTCAGGCTGGGTTCAACCATTTCTCCTGTAACTCAGGCTGGTTTCAACCATTTCTGTTGTAACTCAGGCTGATTTCAACCATTTCTCCTGTAACTCAGGCTGGTTTCAACCATTACTCCTGTAACTCAGGCTGGTTTCAACCATTACTCGTGTAACTCAGGCTGGTTTCAACCATTACTCGTGTACCTCAGGCTGGTTTCAACCATTACTCCTGTAACTCAGACTGGTTTCAACCATAACTCGTGTAACTCAGGCTGGTTTCAACCATTTCTCCTGTAACTCAGGCTGGTTTCAACCATTTCTGTTGTAACTCAGGCTGATTTCAACCATTTCTCCTGTAACTCAGGCTGGTTTCATCCATTACACCTGTACCTCAGGCTGGTTTCAACCATTACTCGTGTAACTCAGGCTGGTTTCAACCATTACTCCTGTAACTCAGGCTGGTTTCAACCATTACCTGTGTAATTAGGCTGGTTTCAACCATTACTCCTATAACTCAGACTAGTTTCAACCATTACTCGTGTAACTCAGGCTGGTTTCAACCATTACCTGTGTAACTAGGCTGGTTTCAACCATTACTCCTATAACGCAGACTAGTTTCAACCATTACTCGTGTAACTCAGCCTGGTTTTAACCATTACTCCTGTAACTCAGGCTGGGTTCAACCATTTCTCCTGTAACTCAGGCTGGGTTCAACCATTTCTCCTGTAACTCAGGCTGGTTTCAACCATTACCTGTGTAACTCAGGCTGGTTTCAACCATTACTCCTGTAACTCAAGCTGGTTTAAACCATTACCTGTGTAACTCAGGCTGGTTTCAACCATTACTCATGTAACTCAGGCTGGTTTCAACCATTACTCGTGTAACTCAGGCTGGTTTCAACCATTACTCCTGTAACTCAGGCTGGGTTCAACCATTACTTCTGTAACTCAGGCTGGTTTCAACCATTACTTCTGTAACTCAGTCTGGTTCAACCATTATGTTTTGACAAATACAGTTTGAGACCCAAAGGAGGAATTAAGGAAGCAAATTATGTCATGTTAACATAAAGTTGATCATCTCTAACATTTTTTCTCAACATATATAGCAGAAAAAACAGTAACTACAGAACTAATATGCACATCTGTAGGCCAGCTGGTAGCCGAAGGCTATTGATAGTAAAAATATATCTTGAAACGGTGTATCTAGAGATTCAATAGATAAATAGAGCAAAAAAAAATAGTAACTAAATCTACTGAGAGGATTACTAGTGTCACTTAGTCCTACATCCCAGTACACTACTGGTGTCACTCAGCCCTTCATCCCAGTACACTACTGGTGTTACTTAGCCCTTCATCCCAACACATTACTGGTGTCACTTAGCCCTTCATCCCAGTACACTATTGGTGTCACTTAGCCCTTCATCCCAACACATTACTGGTGCCACTTAGCCCTTCATCCGAGTACACTACTGGTTGACACTTAGCCCTTCATCCCAACACACTACTGGTGCCACTTAGCCCTTCATCCCAGTACACTACTGGTGTCACTTAGTCCTAAATCCCAGCACACTACTGGTGTCACTCAGCCCTTCATACCAGTACACTACTGGTGTCACTTAGCCCTTCATCCCAACACAATACTGGTGTCACTTAGCCCTTCATCCCAGTACACTACTTGTGTCACTTAGCCCTTCATCCCAGCACACTGCTGGTGTCACTTAGCCCTTCATCCCAGCACACTACTGCTGTCACTCAGCCCTTCATCCCAGTACACTACTGGTGTCACTTAGTCCTACATCGCAGCACACTACTGGTGTCACTCAGCCCTTCATCCCAGTACACTACTGGTGTCACCTAGCCCTTCATCCCAGCACACTAGTGGTGTCACTTAGCCCTTCATCCCAGCACACTACTGCTGTCACTCAGCCCTTCATCCCAGTACACTACTGGTGTCACCTAGCCCTTCATCCCAGCCCACTACTGGTGTCACTTAGCCCTTCATCCCAGCCCACTACTGGTGTCACTTAGCCCTTCATCCCAGCACACTACTGGGGTCACTCAGCCCTTCATCCCAGCACACTACTGGGGTCACTTAGCCCTTCATCCCAGCACACTACTGGGGTCACTCAGCCCTTCATCCCAGCACACTACTGGG